TGACACTCTTCTCCCCATCATCCAATGCTGGATTTTACCAGGGAGCCGCATCATCTCAGATGGCTGGGCCGCATACGCTGATATTGCCCTGCTTGACATTTACATGCATGATGTCATCGTCCACCAGCGGAACTTCGTTGATCCAGATGATCCGACAATACATACGCAGCTGATCGAGAACACGTGGATGCGGGCCAAAAGAAAGATACGTTGTCAGCACGGAACCACCGTCGCATTGTTCCCATCGTATCTTGCGGAGTTCTCATGGCGACAGGGAGTTGGTCCCAACAAGTTCGGCAAAATGATCATTTGTATTTGTGTGATTTATGTTGTGTAAGTATGAGAGTGTGAGAGATAGAGGGAGAGAGGGAGAGGGAGAGGGAGAGGTGAGAGAGATCGATCGTGGGTCAGTTTGATCATGTTATGTCATGTTGTGTTATGTTGTTGTTTTTGACTTCCACGTAATAAAGTATTTCGATTTTAAAAATTGTTTATTTTTTATCTAACTAAACGGAGCCTAAGGTAAAATATTGCTTGTTTCCCCTTTACCGACCGGCTCGTTAAAACGCCCCGTCTCAACAAATTTTATTGGCCGATTAAAAAAAGCAACAACTGAACAGTTCTAATTGTTTAACACCCTTTTAGCCGGGGCGCGATCGCGCGACATTTTCAGGTTTAGTTGCAAAGGTCGCCGAAAAAAGTAGCCCGCGACACCCGTGTTACACACTTTCACCGTAACAGATTTACAAAGTGCCAGCGCAGCGCAGATCAACAGATTATATACAGCGTCAGCGAGCGCGTACAACGCAAGCAGCGCGTGCCGTGCTGCGGCGGAATTTCATTGATGTACAGGGGGGAGGGGGGCTGGGTTGGCAGATTATCCCTTCTCTTACTCCTCCACCAGCTTCTCCCTTCTCCCCCTCCACCAGCTCCATTCTCCCCTTCCTCCTCCACCAGCTCCATTCTCCCCCTCCTCCTCTTCCTCCTCACCCTCATTCTCCACCAGCTTCTCCCCCTCCTCCTCCACCAGCTCCCTTCTACCCTTCCTCCTTCTCCACCAGCTTCTCCCCCTCCTCCACCAGCTTCTCCCCTCCTCGACCACCTTCTCCGCTTCCTCCACCAGCTTCTCCCTTCTCCCCATTAGACTAATAATTCCACGCAAATTTCGTTCAAATATATAAAAGTAAATACCTCTGCAACACACACTCAGACACTGTCTGTGACACAGTCGCGCTGCATCATGATCTAGCTCTAGAACTATAGCCTGCGTACAGTTGCCACAGGGCTGTAGAACATTCTACTACGAATGCTAGGGACAACCTTATTCCCGGTTACTCGCGGCTATAAAACGTCTGTGGTAGGCAATTAATGCCTCTTATCCGAAGTGAATATGTCTTAAGTTATATCAGCTACTAAAGTTTTACCTCTAACTATTGTTGAAATGGTCTACTTGCAGTCTTTCTTGTGAACGAACATTATTTACGAACTTCAAACGGCCATTTTTGGTGGCGCTGCAGCAGCGCCAGTCAGCGGGAACTATGTATTTCCGCACGTGGAGGGGTGGGCGGGTTGTGTTGGTTGTGGACAAAAACATTGTTTTCTACTTCTACTTCTACTCTATATTAATTTTAGCCACCATCAACATACTGATGATTATGCCAACGGCTTTAGCTAGCCATGGGGTGTGACCTAGCTTGGGTAAAGCCAAGTAGTTAGCCTTTTAGCCGAATGGCACTGAGGGTGGTCACAGCCAAAGTTTTTTTGCGCCCTCAGTGGTTCTTTTACGTCCTATTAGCCTTAGTATTACTGGAGACGGGACCGCCATTTTACGTGGTCATCCAAGCCACTGGAAATTCATATAGTCTCCAATGTTGAGAGCCAGGTTTTTACACCTTGAGAAAATTCACTGCCCTGGCCAAGGTTTGAACTCACAGCCTTCAGTGGACAGTATACGTGGCCTAACCACTGGGCCACGAAGGCGCGCTTTGTAGTTGTCAAGTAACAAATTAAGGGATCAAAAAAGATTGTAATATTAGTTTTGTCATGAAAGATGAACATATTACTAATACTATTATTAATTTGTTACTTGACGTTTTTGTCCACAACCAACACAACCCGCCCACCCCTCCACGTGCGGAAATACATAGTTCCCGCTGACTGGCTGGAGTAAGTTGGTCCCGAGCCATATCAAATGTCCCCCCAACGATTTTGGATCACTATGATTTTGTGTGTAAGTGTGTGTGTGTGTGTGTGTTTGTGAAGTGAGAACCTTTTTATTGTGTGTG